TTCTGTGGGTCCAAGAGCAATGATTTTGAGACATGGCTGAGGGCAACCCTTGCTTGGTATCCCTACTGGTCCCAATCTTATGTTTTTGAAGAGGTCAGGACCCCTGATGTAAGGCTTGGATTACTTCAGTTTGTTCTGCTAATATTTGGCTTCCTTATCAGTAGGTCAGAAATGTGACTTTGAATCTGGCAGTATCAAGGGATACTCTAACTTAAGATAACAAGCTAACCCAGTAAGCAATGATGAGTTCTATTATTAAGGAAAATAAAATTAAAAACCCCTACCAACTCTGACCCAGGTAATGAGCAGCAATAAACAGTGGGTGCCTTATCGCAATCACTTTTTAACAGATTTTTCATCGGTACCCCCTCATTTCAGTCGTTCTGACTGGGAGAGGTGCCCTGTTCTCTGATGAAATCTTAAAAATTATGTTCCAGTTTAACATTGAATCCTGTCTCTTAAATAACTAAAATACTTTACAGTTGGCCCAGAAATTTCATTTAAAGACCAGTGAACCCTGTTTTGCCTATCATGAGTGATTTACCTCACTTTTGTCCACTCAGAAGTGGTTTTATCTTAACACTAATGAAAGCAAAGAGTTTCACGTCGGTCACTTAACAGAATCTATTCAGTGAGTAATCTTGACACGAGCAGTGACTTAGTACTGAGGATTTTAAATCCAAATTAAACTTCGCTCTTTCTTCTCATTACCATTTTCAGCTTATACCTTCCACTCAGGAAAACGCGCATGAATTTGCGGCTAATATTTGTAATTGCATTAGTGTTCTAATATTCCATCAAAATAATTTCAAATGGAAATACATTGAAGCTCTTTGCAATATTTTGTGAGCTTTATTTCATAAGGAGGCTGTGGCATCTGTAACGGCACCATTATGTTTCAGAAACAGAGCTGTATTTGAACGCTGCTGCTTCTTCATCCTTGGTTTATAGTTACGTTTGTCTCCTTAACCGTTTTTTGGTGGGGTTTTTTTGTTGTTTTTATAATGGTTGCTTGCAAGAATGTTCAAAGCAGGCTTAGTGATAAGATTATGCTGGGTGTTTTGCATGAAATATGCTGCTGAAGAATCAGTCTGGTTCCTTCCTGCATTCAGAGTACTCTCTGTGACTGCGCTGAAGGGTTAGCCCACCTTTTGCAGGGGGTTGGCTGTATGAAAAATCAGATGCTGTAAAAATGCTTTGACTCATGAGGAGAGACTGGGGTAATACGCCACACCACAGCAAGATAAAAGGCCAGTCCCCAAACTCATGTGAGCATTTTGAGAATTAAAAAATACAGCATTATCTTCTTTGCCCAAAGTCCTCCAGTACTCTGAGAGTAAATTGAACATCTATTCCTAAACTGAACACTTCAGATAAGAAGCAAAAATGTATCATCTCTATAACATTAGCACTAATAGTTTACAAGTGTTTATTAAATTCTAATAAATCTAGTCATTTTTATGTGTGAAAACGAAAAGATCTCCCACTAAAATGCTATTAAAAATTATGCCATTTTTATTATTACTATTTATCACATTACTGGAAAGATAGAATCAAAGAAATGGAAGTGAGCAATCAAAAAAAGCTGAACAAGAGGCAATACTTTATCCTTTTCCAAGGATATCTCAAGGAACATAAAAGAAACTTTGTTTTTTATTTTACGCTGATTGTCTTGTAGCCACACAGTCACAATTTTCAAGTCATTAGCTTCATTAAACTAACTTTACTTATGATTTGCTTTATAAATACAGCAACATCATGTAGTTTACAAAGATCTGGAAGTTTTTTATAAAGCACAAAATGTGTATTTTTAAGAAATATTACATTTCAGTCATGGGTAGCTTTTCAAGGAGCTAACTTTTAAATGGTTTTAGTCGGTGGTAAGAGATGGAAAGACTGTCCCCTTGTGGATAGGAATATGAGGAAAGTGATACTGTAACTCACGGATAGCAGCGGCAGCCCTGGGCATTTGGACTTTTGTTAGGAAATTACCTAGAATCCTGCTTTGCACATTGCTCATAAACCAACATTTGAGTGTACAAAATACTATGGAGGGCCTTTTCTTTTAAATTGGTTGGCTTGACAAACAGCAGAGGGTAAAGATTGAGCTAATGGAGCACCATTGCTAACACCATCCGTCCAGGCTGTCACCTCACTCTAACTGCTGTAGGCAGCTACAGTGTCACCCTCATTTGAAGGAAACTGTTTTGTGAAGAACAGCTTCAGAGCAGAGAATGGGAGAAGGTGCTACAATAAAGACAAAGTCTTATAGTGTATCTATAAACCAATGCATCTGCCAAACTCATGGTAAAGCATCCATCTATAGGGTGAAGCACCAGCTTTGTCCCTCGCTCCTGCAGCTGCACCAATGGAGAGACTGGAGCAGGACTGATCCACAGCTGGCTGGAGACACCCGTCTGTTGCTGCAGATGTTAGATTATCCCTAAGTGTTACAGTTTCCCCGTACACATCGTCACCTCTCATCCAGGAGAACAACCATAAGATGCCTGACCCATGAGAACTACCAGAAGATGCTGGCACCCCACCATCACTCAGATTTTTGATGATCAACGGTAGCTTCAAATTTCTGCCGTAAGGAAGCAGAACTTCACGGGGCTGCTGAGATAGCAGGGGATGTTTCTCAGAGGAAGTGTTCTGATTTATGAAGTCCAGTCCTTCCCTATTGCAGGCAGCTGCGGCCTCCCTAACAAACTCATCTTGCTCTGACAATGACCTTAAGATTTATTAAGATTTTATTAAGATTTATTAAGATTTTTCTCCCAATCACCTCAATTGCAAGAATTTTCTGAAATATCATTAGAAACCTCACAACTTTTAGCTCAGCCATATTCGTGGTCAGTGTATATCTATTCATTCTATTATCCTTTTCTTTAAGCAGCTTTTTTCACCTCCTTATCATTTAATTCCTGATGATCATATTCCCTCCCAGCCTTTGTCAAACAAAGTCAGTCGCACACTTGCGGCTTTATCGTACAGGAAAGGTTCCACAAACGCTTTCATGTGATTGTGTCAGCTGAAAGTGTCCCATAGGGTCAACTTCTTCCACCAACCGTTGTTCAAGAACATATTCTTCAGAGGGCTGGAGCACCTTTGCTATGAGGACAGGCTGAGAGAGCTGGGGGTGTTCAGCCTGGAGAACAGAAGGCTCCGGGGAGACCTTATAGCGGCCTTTCAATATCTGAAGGGAGCCTACAGGAGAGCTGGAGAGGGACTCTTTGTCAGGAAGTGTAGTGATAGGACAAGGGTAATGGTTTTAAACTGGAAGAGGGGAGGTTTAGATTAGATACTAGAAAGAAATTCTTTCCTGTGAGGGTGGTGAGGCACTGGAACAGGTTGCCCAGGGAGGTCGTGGATGCTCCATCCCTGGAAGTGTTCAAGGCCAGGCTGCATGTGGCTTTGAGCAACCTGGTCTGGTGGGAGGGGGGTTCGAACTAGATGATCTTTGAGGTCTCTTCCAACCCAAACCATTTTTTGATTCTGTGATTCAGTCTCATCAATACACAGCCTTTCTCTGTCCCTAATGGAAACACTTCGACTGACACCTTCTCTGGTAGCATTTGCTTTTTTACAGTCACATATCACAGATTGCTCCTAAAATAACCATTTAACTCAGTTGATTTAATCAGTCATTTCCTACTGATTATTTCCCAACTTGTAGCAGAAATTATCATTCTTCCAGGAATCAAGGAAACTGCAGTGATCAAGAAATAAGCTGTTGCCACCCTTTGAAGATCTCCTACCACAAAACCCTAACGGTTTGTGGCTAACCAGTTCAGTGCTGGGAAGCTGAGGTGCAGGCTGGTGTGTGGTTCACAGTGGGGAGATAAGGAAATAAGCCTGAAATAACACCTGGCCGTTGGGAAGAGGACATCCCAAACTGTGCTAGGTGGAACACGCTGTCATAACTTGTCCTCCCCAAAAAGTGAGTTTCTTACGTCCACTGGTCTGTGGCACATGAACTGATCCAGGAGTTGCTTGAAGGGCTGGAGATGACAATGACAAAACCTGTGGGGATTCATCGCAGACCTAGACAGTCACAAATACTTGCAAGTGTCTATTAGCACTGAGGAGTACCCCACTTTCAGGAGTATCCCACTCCTAAATCTCTGACACCAGGCAAATTCAGTGTGCAAGCTGGCAAGTGGCCAACAGCCCTGCAACTCAGACAAAGAGGGATTCTGGCAAAAAAAATCCAGACATACACGCAGCAAGTCCACACTGTACATACGCTTTTTTTTTTTTCTGCACACTGCAGGTCAGACGACAGCAAACCAAAAGTGAAAAAGAGGAAATTCTTGAAACCTATTTCCCCTGTCTCTGTCTTTAACGCTAGGAAGTAACAAGAAACCAGACTGTTTATTTCTGTACTTCACGGGGGGGAAGCGTTAGGTCGGGTTGTGAAAGTTCCCTCTTTCCTCCCCCCCCTCGGTGACGAAACTTCATGAAAAAAAAAAAAAAGTGTATGTTTGCATAATTTCATGGCCCTAACTCAGAGCAGCGGCTGAAACTCACAGACCTGTGGGAGGTCGCAGCTCAGCCCGGCGGTGGACGCTGTGCACAAGGGGCTGTCACCTAAAGAAGTGGCTGTCACCTGAAGGGGCTGTCACCCGGAGGGGCTGTCAGTCACCCAAAGGCAGCCGGTGGCCACTAAGGGAGAGGGGAAGGCGAATTCGGGAGCGGGCGGGCCAGCAGGGCCGGGCCGCCTTAGCCCAGCGGGCCCGGCCGGGGTGGCAGCTGTGGCCCCAGCAGGGCCTTACAGCCCGGCATTACCTCACGCCAACCCTTTCGGCTTCAGTTTCTATCTTTTCAGCGCTCGTAGGGATTAAATAATTTAGGGTTTGACCTTCCTTTATTCTTCCACACCCCTTTAAAACAGCCGCCTCACGCCCCGGCGCCCGGCCCCGCCACAGCTCCGGGGCAGCATCCGGGGCTCCCCGCGGCCCGCCCCACCTGTGCGGGGCCGGGGGCGGCGGGGACCCGCAGGCGCCGGCGGAGATGGTGCCCGGCCCCGGCCCCGGCCCCCCTGCCCCTCCACGCCTCCTTCCACACACCCCGGGGGCGGTGCCGGCTCCCTCATAGCGGGGCGGCCCGCGGCCCTCCGGCCCCCGCCCCGTACCCGCCTCACCCCGGCCCGGCCCGGCCCGGCCGGCACTCGGAGCCCGCCATGGCGGGGCTGGGGCAGGGGCAGGGCGGGGGGGGGAAACCGCCGCTGCTGGTGAAGATCGTGATGGCCGGGGAGACCTGCGTGGGGAAGACCTCCATCGTGCGGAGGTACACGGAGCCCGCCGGGGCTCCCGCCTCCTCCTACCTGGCCACTATCGGTGAGTGACCGCGGGAGAAGCCCCCCCGCCGGCCTGCCGCCCCCTCATCGCCCGCCCCCCGTAGCCTCCCGTAACCCAGCGGCGCCCGGCGGTGTGGGCAGGGGGCGGCCGCCTTCCCCGCACTGCCCGAGGGACTGACGGGGCTGTGTCCCGGTGGGCGCCCCCCCGGCTCCCCCTCCTCGCCCTCCTCTCCCTGGGCGCGCCTGAGGGCCCGGCCGCCGGTGCCCTTCTTCAGTCACGGCCCTCCCGGCTGCACTGACAGCTCGGCAGCGCCTGGCTTGGAGGTGCCCGGTCCCCTCCGTGTCTCCAGCCGCCTCCGGCAACTTCAGCCCTCCCAGAGGTTCGCCAGGGTGTCAGGCAAACGCGTCACCCAGGCTCCACAGCCCCTCCGTGCCGGCTGTAGTTGCGCTGTCCCTGCTGGTTGTCATTCGGAACCGACCCTTTTCTTAAAACTCAGGAAGACAACCTGTTTCTTACCGCCCACGGCTCCGGACGGGGCCCTGTGGGTGCGGGGGACACGGGTGTCTGCCTCCCGGAGCTGTCAGGCATCAGCAAGATGCCCAGTTCTTCCATTGTTCACCCTAGAAAGGGATTTAACCTTGTGCTTGTAATTTTAAGGGTGTGAAGTCAAGATACCTTCGACTGTAGGTAGCTGCGTCTGTGATGATTAAAGCAGAGCCGTTGCTGTGATGGAAGTAATTAGCCCCGATGGACCAAGGTGGTTTTGTGCTGCAGCGCTGTGCTGCCTTCCCCAGCACCTCTGCAGGTGGTGGGGGTGACGGGGGGCTCCCCACCGCCATGGTACCCCAGCCCCTCTGCAGGTGGTGGGGGTGACGGGGAGCTCCCCACCGCCATGGTACCCCAGCCCCTCTGCAGGTGGTGGGGGTGACAGGGAGCTCCCCACCACCATGGTACCCCAGCCCCTCTGCAGGTGGTGGGGGTGACGGGGGGCTCCCCACCGCCATGGTACCCCAGCCCCAGAGTGTCCCAGAGGATGAATGGAGGGTTGACTGTCCACAAAACTGGGTTATTAGCATGAAAACATGTAATGTGAGGGGGATGTGGGGGGGTGGGGGTGTGATTTGCCGTGGAGACTTTTTTTTCCAACCCCCCCAGTTTCGGATTGGGAAATTTTCATTTTTAAAATTTGCGTGTGTGTAAGAGTTTTTATTTTTTTCATTTTCTGTGCTCTTGAAGATAAAGTATGCACAAGAAGTTTTGCGTCGCTGCATTTGGTATACCTACAGCACTTTTATACATTTTTGAGTTTAACTGAATAAATACCAGGTGGTAGCTGTGGACCAGGGGATGCTTAATGTACGTGAGATCAGTGACCTGCCCGCATGGGAATGGCTGAACTTAAACCACTTTTTATTTTGTGGCCCGTTCTTGCAAAACAGCTTCTGAAACCAACATGAACAGAAAGGCATAAGCCCAATTAGCAGTAGAATCATGAAATTGATCCTCGTAACAGGCAACTTGTTACCAGGCTTAGCAAGAAGTCCCAAAGAACGGCCATGAAAATAAACATCAGCTTTGTTGATGTATTTTATATTGGAACATAGGTTCCTAACCATGGGGTTATTATTTTGATACACAATCTCTTTTACTCTTAATGCATTCCACTGTGGAGTCAAAAACTCTTGTGTGGTGATGATATTAAGAATATATTTTCCAAGTCGTGGTTCAAAATAGTTTAAGGAATAGTTAAGATAAGAGTTTTGTGACAGTTAGGGGTTAGTTTTATTACTGTTCCTGAAACCTATTCTTGAGAGATTTAAAAACTTTTTAAACAAATGCTTAGCTGAAATGTGAGTCATCCAAATGTGGTATTTGTTACTTGAATGTGATTTTAAAGTTATTTCTAAAACACCATCTTCCATTTAATTCCATTTTAGGAGGTGTATTAGAGTTTAGGCTTTTAAAATAAGTGGGATTGTGAGTGAGGGCTTCTGAAAGAGTAATGTTGGAAGTTTCTTTTTCCTAAAGACAGCAACAACCGAGAACATGACCTAAGGGAAGAAGACAATGCAATGGTTTTTCTGTTCATGATGTCTTCTCCCTCCTTGTTGGCACTGTCAAAACAAATAACTGTTTTCATCCAGATGCCTGTTTTGTACAAGCTGAGTCAAATGATCCCTGTCTGTCATGCAGCCTATTGAATGCTTATCTGATGATAATGGATTTTTCACCCTACCTGTCCAGCTGTGATTTGAGTAGAGGGAAGATTATCGAGGCTGTGCAGTCTTTTAGCCAGCTGAGTTCCCTGACAAAATCATATGCCACCACCTTCCTCAGTGGCAGAGGGTCGTAGGCACAGAAGTTAAAATATTGTTGAAAGTCTCATTTCTGTGTCATCATGAATCACAGGTTTGTGTTACTAGGAAAAATTCTAGTGTTATTGCAGGGGGAAAGAAAAAACCCAAACATTTCACAGTAGGCTCCAGTAGAAGTGAACTTTTCTAAGTATTCTAAGTATTTTATGGAGAAAAAAAAAAGCATCCACAATAAATTTTCATTGAAAGCTTTTTATGCAGCACTTAAACACTCAAGGCTGGGTGCCCTTCCTCCTCTTCAATTACGCAGTTTGGGTAAATTATAAGCAGTTACAGTTTTCTAATTAAACTTATATGCATCATAAGGCAGATGCATTGTATTATGAATAGACTACAAAGAATAAATTTTTTTGGTTTAAACAATGGCATTCCATATAAAGCCATCGAGAAAGTTTATGAGCGAAAGAACCCCGTGCAGATGAATGAACGGGATTGTGATCTTGCGGGCTGTGAGGTTGTTATTTTGCTGTATTACAGTGGCTGTGGTCCTGCAGCACACATTTTCTGCGAGATGCATTTCCGTAGAGCTGTGAGTCCTTGCAAATCTGTCGTAGTTGAAAGTGGTGCAGCTCCCACTCACTTCAGGTGAAGTTGCAAATTCAAGTGATTGACGCAATTACTGCTTTCCTGCATCCAGAGCTGAAGGTGCTGTGTGACAGTCAGTGGGCTTGGTAGAACCTGCACTTGGGCAAGTACCACCCTCTGTCCCCGCTGCCCTGGGTGCGTCCTGCTGAGCTGCTCAAACTTGCATTTTCTCTGCATAGACTTTTTTTTTTTTTGAGCCTTTTATATCAACTATATTGGAGTCAAAAGTGTGTTGTCATTTTCTAGGCCAACTGCAAGAGGCCTCTCTGAAGAGGACTTTTGCAGATGGCCAAAAACTGCTTTATAGATACTGAGGGAAGAGAAGGGCAATTCACAGCTGAATTCCCGTGTGGCTGACTGTTTTGATGCTTTTTAGACTTAATTGTCTTTAAGGTGCCTCAGTCCTAATATGGACATATTTATTATTTGTAACATAAAGAAAAGAAATGAATCTCATAGCTATAAAACTTGGAAATAACAACGAGAATTTGAACTTGTACCCGCATACCCCTTCTTGGTTTTATTTGACAGCTTAAAAGAAGTTAAGTACAAGCTGTTGCATTCAAATAACGTTTATCTCAAGAGCGGTAATCAATGATCGCTTTGTTATGTTGATCATGCTGTATAATACATGGGCCTAAAACCCTCTGAAATCTGCGAGCTGTCTTTGGCATTGTATTTCTCATTTTTCTTTTCTGTCTTTCCAATTTGCTAAGTTTGCTCGAAATTTCATATAAAGACATGAACAATTCATGCATGCAGAACATATTGACTTCTGTTTTTCACTAACATTCATTGACCTTCTAGGTCAATAAATTTTGAAGTTGACTTAAGAAGTCAATAAGCCTTATTTTAATTTAGATTAAGTTTTAGTCTGATTCAGCACTCTGCTTCCCTGTTTATAAATAAATAAAAAAAAAAAGCTTATAGCAATTTATTATTAAAATGTATGTCAACTAAGAACTGTTTCCTATAGGTCTGGGAATCCCTGGCTGGATTACAGTTTTTTGCCATATTCCCTGTGCACCATTTGAAAGTGTCATTGCAGCCTCCCAGTGCGTACTCTGTCCCTCTCAATTGCTCTAACATCAATTGTAGAAAGTGATACAGGTAATTAAACAAAACCATGTGAATTTCAGAGCAAATGTTTTCCATCACATTGGAATTGCACCTTACATGAGCAAATTTGACTTAAATTACATTTCCATCTGACATTATTAATTCCATCAAGGAAGCTTTCTGTAATATTAATTACAGATACCAATTATATTATTTCATCTTTCCTTTCCATTGGAGCTTCAACAAAAATTCATCAAGTGAGGGACATGATTATCATAAGAATTTTAAAAATCCACCTAAACTCTTTTACCGCATACACACAAAAATGTTAATAGCATTGACTCATGCATGTGAGAGTGTACTTGTCAAAGTTTTGTGCACAATACATCCATCAGTAAAAAGGAAAGGAGCATTTCCTCTACTGCATTTTTGGTTTACTGCCATGGGTGCTTTCCTTTGATAAAGTAATTTGACAGACAGGTTCTTACAGAAATCAGTGCAAACATATTAATTTCACATTTTTGTGCTTTTTCAGTCTGTTTAGTTCTTTCCAATGACATTACTACTAGTGAAAAGCCACTTTGAAGTCATATTAAGTAGCCATATTTTGACCTTAGGGGATTTTGACCATGCAGTATGGCCATCACAATGTCACCTTAATTTCACTTAACATAATTGACAAAAATAGCATTATTGTTTTTCAGTAGGAAAAAAAAAATGAGCAGAGAAATTATCAACCAGTATTTCAAATTTCAGCAGTAGACTAATTGGAAAAAAACATGGTTAAATGTGAGGAAATGTGTCACTCTAAGATAGTAACTGATAGCTGGCAAAATCTAATATTAAGATTGGAGCTTCAACAGCCCATAAATCCAGGTATCATCTTCCACATTTGGACTACTAATTTGGTAGTATAATAATGGAAAATGCTATAAATTTTAAGGAAAGTCTCTTTGAGGAAAGATCTGTAGTGTATGTAGAGACAACATTCTACACTGATTTCAAGTGCTAATGCTTGATTTTAGCATTTGCACTTCGGATCTAGTGATTAAGGCTGTAGAGACAATCCTCTTCGTTTTGAATGAAATCCAGTATATGTTTGTCTTTGCATTTAACTAGTACAGCTAATTCCTGTTCACGTAACCCTAGATTTTATTTTTTTTAGGCACTTGGAAGTAAGGACAGAAAAATGGTGTTGCGCTTTGTAGGAATTTCTACCTCCCCATTCATAGCTGCCACGCTGTTGTGATGAAACTGGAAACAACTGAAATCACCAATCTGTTTGCCAAGTATTATTGTGCATAGGCCATGAAACTGCTGTCATGTTGCTGTCATGTCACTTGCCTATTCATGGAAATACCTCCATGGAGTTTCAGAGTATCTGCACCTTCGCTTTGACCTGCCCTCCCGTTGCTTTGCATTGGCATTGCTTTGTATCGTGTCCGTGTAACGTATTGGCACATGGTTGTTTTCACCATTGAATAATTTCCTTCTACAACTTCCATTTTGAATGTGTATGGTTGGCTAGTTACTCTTTGTTTGATGTAGTTCCTTTTCACTTTCTGTTCAAAATTGCATGATAACTAAAGCTGAGAAACGCTATTCAAAGTGAATCCCTGTTATTATGAGAAATGTTACAGATTTTCTTCTTTTTTTCTAGGCATTGATTTTAAAGTAAAGCCAGTAACAATTAATGATACAAGAGTGAAACTTCAAATATGGTAAGTTTTAATTTATATCACCAATGAGAGCCAACTAAATTACATTACAGCATGAAAAATTTCATCTGCTTTTCCTAAAGTGCAGTTTTTCCTCCTAGGTCATTTTAAAATTTGAATTTGGCCTAGGGGAGCGTATTTTTTGCAGCTGCTAATGTAGGGTTGCCACTAGGTTACTCTAACAATAAAACTTGCAACATAAAAGCAAGATCATACAAGCAGATCTATAGGAACATTGAGGGAAGTGACAAAGCAAGAAAATGTTACGTTTCATTACCTATCAAATGCATGTTCGAAAGGGTCACTAAGAGAAAGCTAGTCAGGAACCTACACTCTGTATTTTGTTTTTGAAGTTTTTCTAAAGGCTACATATGCCCACTGACAGCCATCTCTCCAGGTATCAAATACTGAAGATTATCTATATTTACCAGTGTTTAACTTCTCCAGAGGTATCTCTGTATATGAATTATCAGGCCAGTATTAGATCTCCAGTTATTCCATCTCAGGTTTTAAAATAAAAGTCTCAGAGGCTTGTTTACAGATTTCTTAAGGCATAATTATGTGTAGGAATCTCTGCAGCCCTGTATTTTATGGCTTTTCACCAAAACTTACCTTCCATCTAAACCAGCTTACTCTCTGTGTCGCAGTTTACAAAGGGCTTGTCAGAGTATGGGATGTCATCTGACTCCTGCCAGTGCTTGTACTCCGGATTTTTTATATCACTTGAATTGTACTGATATTAATGATTATGTATAAAAAGAAACAGTGATGGGCTTGAAGTTACACTGAGGCTTCAACCACTGGCTTAGCTTCCCTAGTAGGGCTGTATTATTCAGAATAAATATCTGGTGTATTTCTTTCAGTGCTGTATCTGGCACCCAGATTTCCTCTCATCCATATCTTTTCTTGTTCCTTTCAAGTTAGGCTAAACCGTTCAAGATTTCGACAATGCTCCTTAAATTAAAGTGATTTTTCTAGGAGGTTCCTGCAGTTTGGTCATGTTGGTTTTGTTTCTGTGTGTGTGATTTCTTACAATTTCTTTCAGGGATACTGCTGGCCAGGAACGATTCCATACACTAAGCACTAGCTATTTTCGTGGTGCACAAGGCTTTGTTCTTGTATATGACATCACAAATCTGGACAGTTTTCAAAGTATAACAAGCTGGATGAACGACATACATGAGGTAAATATATCTAACAGTGGTTGATCTCTTAACAGAGGTAGTTAATGAGTTACTGCAGTTAATGTTTTAAATGACTGCATGATATTTATTCTTTTTCCTTGAGCTGTATGTTTCTAACCAGAATTTGTTACATTTAGCTCAGCACATGTAGTATGAGAGCAGGTTTACTGTTAGTCTGAAACTGGAATACAGTGTAGATTATCAAGGAAAAGCCCATGGGGATGCAGGAATGTTTTCTGAAGTACTTTTAAAATGTAGCTTCCAATCTGGTTTTGCACATGCTGAGTTACGGTGCTTTACCCACTGATGTGGGTACACACAAACCAATCTCTGTGAGCTTTTCCTGGGATTCTAATTGGCTTCCATGTCAAAATTCCATATCACAGCCAGTTACCTCCCTTTCTTAATTCAATTGATTTAGTGTAATTACCCGCATCCCAAGAATCAAAAGAAGCATATAGAATTAAACATCCTCTTTGTCCTTGCTGGATATGCCCTTTGAGAGGATGGTTTCAAGAGGGAGGAACTGGGGGAGGAGAAGGAGAATCCCTTCTTAGTGGCACCCAGCTGTTTGGTTAGCTCAGCTGCTTGTGGTACTGCAGCCCAAAACACGTGCTTTCATGTGCCATAGGAAGTGATTCAACAGCACATGGCCACCAGACAGGGAGCGTGTTCCCACCTCCCTTCCTGCTCCTGACGTTGGCTCCCACTGTGCTGCTTCTGGAGCTCCTCAGAGCCCTCTGAGGTTCATTCTGACTTTCTAACCTGGTAGAAAACTAACGCAGCAAAACCAGTTGGATGGTTTTCTGCTCTTTTGGTGAGTTTAAGAGGTTCATAGAAAGGTCTGATGGTTATTGGAATTGGCACAAGGTAAACGGCTAAGACTGTGAAGGCCAGGAGAAGATCATGTGGGAACAGTGTGAGGCAGGAACCAGGGAGAGAGGAGCGGGCAAGCCCATAGACATCAGATCATTCAGGTGCCTGTAGCCCTGTTCCCTGACTCTTTATTGCTTGGTCTCTCTTGATGTGTTCTCTGTTAGGTAGAGGCATGTCAGATTTAGAATAGACTAGTTCAGTTACAAGGGGCCTACAAAGATGATCTAGTCCAGCTGCCTGACCAATTCAGGGCTGACCAAAAATGAAGGCATGTTATTAAGGGCATTGTCCAAATGTCTTTTAAACACCGACAGGCTTGGGGCATCAACCACCTCCCTAGGAAGCCTTTTCCAATGTTTGACCTCCCTCTTGGTAAAAAAATACTTCTTGATGTCCAGCCTAAACCTCCCCTGACACAGTTTTGAACCATTCTCATATGTCCTATCATTGATACCACAGGGAAGAGACCAGCACCTCCCTCTCCACTTCACCTCCTCAAGAAGCTGTAGAGAGTAATGAGGTTGCCCTAAGCAGTAGCATAGGATTTTGTAGTTAGAATGCCTATATAAGTTAGTATGTTAGTGTAAGAATCCAAGCAAACTCATGCTCTTTGTTGATTAAAGTCAAGTAAACAATCAGGCAGTTTTTGTGATACACTGTAAATTGGTAGGAATACGACATGATAGATGGGAGAGTTCATCTTGAGAAAGTGGGCTCAAAATAAAACCATCAAACACGTCCTTTTCTCTCTTCACAGCTTCAGTATATGGATGAATTAATGAACTACACGTGATCATATGTCCAGTAAGACAGACATAGGATATCTTACACTCTTGATAAAACATTATGTTTACATTACCTCAGTATTAAGAACATTGCTGTGATGACCCTAGTATGTCATTATCCTTGACCTTAAAGCCATCTTAAAAATCTTAGTGGTGATGTGTTACGAAGGTGATTTGATGATACAATATTCTTACTGGCTTGTCTGCACACACTTCAAACTAACACACGTATTTTATTACTTCATTAAGAAAAGCATGTGCCCTTCTGTTAGGCAGACCAACAAAAGTCACAGCTAGAGATACCACTGGTTGTACAAGTTGATGATCAGCTAAGATTTAACCCAGCACACAATATGATAGTAGGTTTACTGTTATCTGAAGCTGATAATGTAGATTATCCATATATATCCAGTTATATATCTATATATGCATAGACCTATCTCTCTGCATGGATACATACTCTGTCTTCACACTGCCTCCAAAGGGATCATTTTGTCCTGTCATCTTTAATTAGATCATCAGGATGGTTGGTTCAGCAGGCTACAATTCATAACCATAAATGCAAAAAACGCATATGGCTGGGGTAGAGGTAAGGATGGGACTTGTAGCCATTGTGTGGGCTTAGATCTGCTGGAGTCACTCAGGAAATCACACCTGCACAAGCCTGCTTTTTGTTCCTGACACTTACAAACTTTTGGGTAAATATACTCAAGCTATTAGGATTTAATTGTTTAGTCTTAACCCCTGAAGGTGCTTTGTTAGTTTAAAATTTAAAAAAAAAAAATGGAAAAATACTCAATTTACAACAATTTCTGGGAATGTAAATTGCGTGATTTATTGTACCAATCTCAAAACTAGCAATTAGTGAGTATTGTAATAGAGCTAGATAATAATAAAAAATTTAATTTGGTCCTAGTGGGATATCAATTTCTGAAGTGTCTTGGTGAAAATATATGGGACCATTCATTGCAAAAGAAATGTTTTTAAGCAGTAACTGTTAAAACACAGGGCATTTCATGAAAATTAATTACTTACTGGAGGTTGGTGACATTCCCTGCATTTGCTTTGGTCTGTGAATGCAAACCAGTATTTAATTCCCCACAAATGCCCAGTATCAAAGCGACTGTTAACATAGCACTCTTTAAAATATGCAAGCATAGAAAAATAAAATTTTTAAAGGGAAACAGATACAGGTTTCATTGAACACCAGACTAATAGGTAATGTAAAGTTTGTACCTAAAGCAAACAGGATTTTTGAGATAGTTCAGTTATAACATTATGCTCTCATTTTTTAATTCTTTGTACATAGAGATTGTAAACAAAGTTTTTGAAAAATCCCTTCAGTGTGCTAACCTGTTCTTACGATAGTTGAAAGTAACAATCTAAGCAATTTAGCATTCCTAAAAACTCCATTGATCTTATAAAAACTGGCCAGTCAGGGCTATTACAATCAGATTACCAGTAATGTTCTCATTGTATTTCAATTATTTTAAGTGTGGAATACAGCAACTTTCCTATTAAAAATGAATTATTGTTCAAGGAAGTTCAAGACATGAATATGCTGCCATATCTGTCTTGGTGTAAAATTTGTATTCAGAACTAGAGGAAACTAAGTAACATGACTGTACTTAAAAAGCTTGCCAGAAAAATATACTCACAGATTAATATCTTAGGACATTATTGGCAAATCCAATACAGGTATGTCAGATTTGTAGTGCCCTCATTAGGAACGTGATAATTGCAGGAAAATTACTTTAGAACCTGAAACCATTCTTTATTTGGAGGACTGCGGGTCATGTCCAATTTATTGAGGTGTTCCTCTTGTCTGCTGACACAGCTTTTAGTTACAGTGTGCAGCTGAGAGGCTGATTCTGTTTGGCCTTTAACAATTAATACAGGTAACGGTGTACCAAATCCATTTGCAGAAAACAGTTCTTTACAGGATGTCTTGAGTGAGATTCCAACTATCATATTGGCAAAAAGATCCTCACAATAGAGTGGTCAAATGCTGAAAAAGGTGCCCAGAGAGGATCTGGAGATACTTAAAACTCAATTCAACAGGGCCTTGAGCAACCTAACCTGACTTTGAAGTTGGCTCATCTTCAAGCGGAGGGTTAGACCAGATGACTTCCATAGGTCCTTGCTAACCTAAACCACTCCACTCCCCCCCCCAGGGGATCTGGGTCTCCACAGACTTTAGACATAGACGATCATAGGTCCTAGTTTTCTTTTAAATATGCTGAATTGGCTTTCATTGTGGTAGTCTCCTGGTGTGGCCATGAAGGTGACATTACCAGTTCCTAACAGTTCTCTCCATGCTGGAAATTCCCTGTGTGCACAGAATTTTCTGTATGGGGAAGATAAATTCATTTTCTCATGTAGTGGCAAGTCTTGGTGCCATAATTTGGTGTTCTCAGTATACATTAGCTTTCTGTTTGTACTACCTGAAGACAGGTAGTGACCCCTCAACCAGGACATGAAATGTATGAGTGTGTTGGGTTACTGCCATTTTTGCATTGTGACCTTTTCCGGTTCTGTTAATTTGATGCATCTGAGAGTTGGGATACTAGACTGCCTTTAAGTGTTTCGGCATCATGCTTAAATAAAAGCAGCACAGCAAACTGCTTTATAAATGTTAATTAGTTTGACTTCAAACTCTTCGGAGTTGAATTATTCCACTTCATAGATGAGTTTGTTGTTATGGCTCTGATTAGATCTGAAAATTCTTGTTTTTGTCACTTTACTAAATTAGTTTCTCTCTCATCCCAGGTTGATTTCAGGATGAATTGGTTTGTATCTAGTCGTGTCTGACAAATTGTGTCATTTCTTTATTTTCACTGAAGTCCTGGGAATTGGGCATTTGTAACTGAGGTCATAAGGTGGCACTTAGGAAAATATATGGAAAGAGACACGTATAAGAATCATAACATAAACATTGCCCATGTGATGCTGTCAAAGAGACTGTGATGGCAATGCATTCCTAACAAATTACTCTTCATTAATACAAAGGGTAAGATTCTAGTGTCATTGTCCAGTGAGTAGGAAAAAGAAACTTCCCAGTTTTATGGCCTTCCCCAGCTCTGCCTTCATCTTGCTCTATTATTGTGGGTATCCTCTTCAGATCTGAAAAATTGTATTAATGCTATGTTTCTTCCTCAAATATATGAATTAAGTATTACCGTAGTGTGTTTATCAGGTCTGGGTTCTCAATTTCACTGTTTGGACACACAAACAAACCTCTGTTCCCTTTTCAAACTGCAATCAGCGAGTATCAAAATCACGCAGCCCTGCCCAGCTACACCCTGGAAATGTGGTGGAGGGACAAGGTGGTGATTCCGTAAGATGTGTCGCTGGGTATATAACAACAATAATGTAAGCTTTACACAGCAAGGGGTCTGGGTGAGCTGGTTGTCATGGTCAGTTTGCTGCAGGGGAGGCTGAGGCCAGCCATTCACAGCAGGGTCTGTGCTCAACGTTTGAGAAGTGAAGGGACAGTGGCTTCCAGTAACTTGTAAATACAAATCACAGAATCACAGAATCTTCATGGTTGGAAGGGACCTCTGAGATCATCGAGTCCAACCACAAACAAAAAAACAAACAAACAAACAACCACAAACAGACAAAATCCAACAATCCCGGACACCAGAGCATGCCCTGAAGAGCCATGTCTACATGTTTCTTAAATACCTCCAGGGATGGTGACTCCACCACCTCCCTGGGCAGGCTGTTCCAGTGCCTGACCACTCTCTCAGTAAAGTAATTCTTCCTAATATCTAATCTAAACCTCCCCTGCCCCAACTTCAGACCATTTCCTCTGGTCCTGTCATTATTCCCTTGGGAGAAGAGGCCAACACCCACCTCTCTACAACCTCCTGTCAGGTAGCTGTAGAGGGCAGTTCTTTTTCAATAAAGGTGTCTCTGCTACTTTTGATACTCACGTGAATTCACAGGGCTTCTGTGAAATAGTTTCCTGGCAAAATGAGAACAGCTGCAGAAATAAAGACCTAACGTTTGAAAAAAAAGCCCAAACAAATTACATACAAAAGGGACGAGCGAGATACTTTCCCTTCGGCGTTTTTGATTTCTGTTAATATTCAAGCAGCGAGTTGGGTTTTTACCTGGCTTGGGTGCACAGGCCGGGTGAAAGTTGAGCAGCACAGCAATTAGTGAAGGTCATGGATGGATGGCTCCTATCAGAGGAGGCTGCTGAAGAGCACTGTGGCACCAAGGTGTGAGAGTCCAGTGTTTCTAAGTCTGGTCCATGGCACCGCCGCCTTTGAGGCTCTGGTGCTGCTCCCTCCTGTGCCCACGGGTCACAGCAGCCTGGTTCCCACCACCTCGGAATCCAGCTGCAGGGGAAAAACCCTTTTTGCCAAAACCCGATGACTCCAAGCTCTGTCAAATGCTTCAAAAATTTGGTCAGTCTCAATGCATCTCTTGGCTCCAATTTTTTTTGAAAGAAATATAGTGCTTGTATTTACTTTCTGCACATTTAAAAAAAAACCAAAACAAAACCGCTAGGTTTTCTCCAAGTTCAGATTATTTTTATTTTAAGTTTTGGTAAAATGTGAACTTTGAAATGTTAAAACCAGAAGAAAAACTGAAGATAGTGAACCAAAAATCTGGATGTATTTTTGAGATACCAAAGAAAAACACTTTTTTTATTTTACTTCTCAAAAAAACCCTTTTCTTTTTGCCTTGATGAAGTAGATGAAATTTTTAATAGCATTTTTCCATGACATGGGAAAAAATGTTTTCTGACTCTATTAGCTTAGTCAGTGCAGACTTGCATAAATAGCATCTTAACAACTGTAAAAGAATCATCCTCTTTTTAGCTGTGGATTTTGCATTTGTAAAGCTTTTTCCTGAGCTATAAATAGAAGAGGATGAAAATATACAGTGAGCTTTTGGAAGCACTGAAGAGCCATATTTTTGGCCAATTCAAATCACTGTACCTCTGCAATTTTTATATCAAGTGAGCACATGGTCAAACTTCTGCTTAGTCATATTGACTTAATTTTTTAAGACTTCGTCTACATAATCAGGTTTCAGAATTTAAAATGAACATAGTTTTGGATTATAGTGTTTAGTTTTTTAAAAGCAAGAAACTCCAAGATACCATCTTTACAAAAGGAGTACTTTCAGTGCTTCGGTGGAGGATCCGGTCAAAGTGAAAATATGTTATTCCATTTTATTATTGTAGAAATAATAGTTATTTGCTGAAATAGATACTTAGTGATTAGTAATAGTGATAAGTACTTACTGAAGGGCCTGGTACCTCCACCCTCCTTTAAATTTTGTTATTTGAGGCTGTTTAGTAAGAACATTCCCACTGCAAAAACTTGTGTTGTTTGTACAGAAATAAAATTACAATATTAATTCCCTGGTTTTGTACATACAGTATACAAGTATTTCCCTTTGACCTTTTACTTCAGAATAAAGTCAAATGTCACTTATAAAACCTTTATCTACATACGGTGGTCTTCAAAATAAAAAGTTGCTCATGTGATGAGGTGAAATTTTCTATTTACCCTATTTTAGGAACTGACGTATGGGATTTTATGTAGGAGAGCCATTGACCTTAATGAGTAAAGCTCCAAAGCATTCTGAAACAGCCAACATTTTTGTCTGTTAGTCCAGGTTTGACTGATTCATTATTTTAAGCCTGTACTTTGTACTCTTATGTTGAGTTTATTTAATTTTAATTCTACGTTAGCTTGAACATCAGCTGTGGGTAAAATGAGATTAGCTGTCTCAAAAATGAGAGTGGATTTAAAAAAAAAAAAGAAAGATCATAGAATCATATCATAGAGTGGTTAGAGTTGGAAGAGACCTTAAAAATCATCTAATTCAAACCCCCCTACCATGGCCAAGGACAACTTCCACTAGACTTGCTCAAAGCTCCATCCAACCTGGCCTTGAACATTTCTAGGGATGGGGCATCCACAACTTCTCTGGGCAACCTGTTCCAGTGTCTCACCACCTTCACAGTGAAAAATTTCTTCCTAATATCTAATCTAAATCTCCCTACTTTCAGTTTAAAACCATTACCCCATATCCTATCACTACACTCCCTGATAAAGAGTCCCTCCCTATCTCGCTGTAGGCCCCCTTCAGGTACTGGAAGGCCGTTATAAGGACTCCTTGGAGCCTTCTCTTCCCCAGGCTGAACAACCCCAACTCTCTCAGCCTGTCCTCATAGGAGAGGTGCTCCAGCCCTCTGATAATCTTCACGGCCCTCCTATGGACCTGTTCTAACAGGTCCATGTCCTTTTGGTGTTGGGGGCTCCAGAGCTGGACACAGTACTCCAGGTGGTGTCTCATGACAGTGGAGTAGAGGGGCAGAATCACCTCCCTGGACCTGTTGGCCACAATTCCTCTGATGCAGCCCAGGATGCAGTTGGCTTTCTGGGCTGCGAGTGCACGTTGCCGAGTCATGTTGAGCTCATCATCAACCAGCACCCCCAAGTGCTTCTCCTTTGAGCTGCTCTCCAGCCGAGAGGGGCAGAATCACCTCCCTGGACCTGTTGGCCACAATTCCTCTGATGCAGCCCAGGATGCAGTTGGCTTTCTGGGCTGCGAGTGCACGTTGCCGAGTCATGTTGAGCTCATCATCAACCAGCACCCCCAAGTGCTTCTCCTTTGAGCTGCTCTCCAGCCGTTCTCTTCCCAACCTGTATTTGTGCCTGGGATTGCCATGTCCCTGGTGCAGGACCTTGCACTTGGCTTGGTTGAACTTCATGAGGTTTGCACGGGCCCACTTCTCGAGCCTGTGCTGGTCCCTCTGGATGGCGTCCTTTCCCTCCAGCGTGTGGACCTCACCACACGGCTTGGTGTCGTTGGCAAACTTGCTGAGGGTGCACTCTATCCCACTGTCCACGTCTCCAACAAAGATGTTGAACAGCACAGGGTCCCAGTACTGGCCCCTGAGGAACACCACTCGTCATTGAAATATAATGTTCCTTAACAGTTGTGCCTGCTGCTGTACTCTTCAAATGAGACAACTTAGTTGTGAAAGTGCAAATACACTAAAAATAATGATTTTTTCATCCTTTAACAAATAGAGCTTTTTCTTTGCATTTCTCTGAAGGGAGGGATGTATGTCCATGTGCATGTGTGTGAGCTCTGGGGAAGAGGACTGTGCCTGATTTTGTCTTGTGGCAAAAAGACTTTGATGGAGATCAGAGATTTCATTAGCATCCTTGTAGAGAAATCTGCAGCCTGAGACTAGGCTTTTTGAGTCACCAGAGAAGCTGTGTGAGCATTTGCTTTCAGAACGTAAGCCGTGGGTTCAAACCGTGTTAGCTTTAATGGTCTCTAGATTGAGCCCCTTAGCTTCCTCCATTTGAGCACCAAAAGTGGTTTTAAATATTATGATTTTCACAACAAATGTCAGTTTTCAAATTCCACATGCTGTTCCCTTTCCTTGTCATTATTCCAGTCATGTATAGTTACAATGGCTTATCTTAAAATAACACTGATGTAAAGCACCCGGTGCATTTCACAGTCATCATGAACGTTGCTGGGTTAGTGGAACGAAGGATGGAGACAAGGTCAAAAAGCTAGATTCTTCTTCCTTTTGAAATCAATGAGGTTTTTAAATTTTACTTCATTAAAAATCTATTGCCTTCTTCCGAGTGTCTTGGAATAATCAAACTTTTATGTTGAGTTTGGACACTTTGAATGTAATTTTACTGTCTGTGTGCAAAAGTGAAGCACAGAGAGGTGCTCTTTCAGGTGCAGCAGATTCCTTCCTTTTGACGTGTGAGTGCTGGATGTAGACCTGACTCATATGCTAATCCATGAACCCATTACTGTAGGGAAGGCAGTGTCTCTGAATTCAAGATATTTCCAGTCACTTTAAAGCCTCAAGATGGAGCATTCATCAGAAGATGGTGCCCATGCATCATAAACTTTATATCTTATGAAAGGGGTTGGAAATTATGCCCTGCCCTTGTAAGGGGCTTTTTTCTGCTCTTTGCAATCTTGCTGTTTTCCTCCAAATCCCAGTAACTGATGGAAAGTATTTCCACATATGAAAAGGTCAGGACAGAATTTAGCCTTTACTTTCAAGGAAATAAAGTGTTGAAGGTTAATGTGTGCTGAAGGTGAAGGGCTTTTGTTGTTTGCTTTTTTTTCTTACTTGACACTTATTGATGCTGGTTCTCTTTCAGAAAGCAGGTGATGAAGTGGACGTAGTACTGCTGGGCAACAAGTGTGATAAGGAGTCAGAACGTGTAGTTCCAAAGCAGAAAGGAGAAAAGGTATCATTTAAACTTTCTTTGGATTGTCCTCAGTATCTTATCTGACTGTGAGCTGCTGCACTGAAAATGATAAAAAACTCCAAAAATTCTATCAGGAATTGCTCCAGAGGAACAGTTGTGGAGTTCTGGAGTGTTGGGGTTTTTTTTAATGTATGAGCAGAAGTACATTAAGTAACTCCTAGATGATCTTTTTAGAATACTGATTTTTATTTTAAAAGTCAAAATGTACTTTGAAAGTCTAGGCGTTATGATAGAAATCTTATCTTCAGAATTAAATTTGAAAATATTTTAGAGTCTGCATTTCCGCTGTTCAAATGTGGAATACTAAAATGCAACGCATAATACATTCTGCATATTTTTTCTGGTACCACCCATCAATGATTTTTTTGCTACAGCTTAACTATGAAGAACCATTCTGGCAGCCTGTGCACAGAGATCTACGTTGTCTATGAGTAGCCTTAAATAATACTGGACAGATAGATTTAGGGAACATCCAGCTCCTCTAGATCTAACTGTGTATGTGTCGTACAGCTGGGACTACTGTGTAGTTCATACCTGCTGACCACGTGTAGGGGAAGAAGTGGTGTGAAGTGGGAGGTTCTGTTTTAAAAGTGATGGCAAATTACTCCCACTGAGAAGCAATGAGGAAATCCAGAAGCCATGCTATGGCAGAAGAAATTGTGATAATGACTTAAATGTTTCCGGAGAGCTTGTCCTGTATACCAGTAAATTTTGCAATTGTAAACTGTCTGAGTCTCTTGTCTGGAAATTGGAATGAGCCTTTCTAGTCTGCCTTCAGACATGGTGAATCAGGCAGGATGTCTTGTGTTTGAAGAAAAGAACACTGGTAATTTCTTCCCAATTGTATAATCCTAGATTAGGGAATTTTAAAAAAGAGCATCACTTTTTGAACAGCATTACGAATAGAAACTTTTGAAAGTTCATTATTCTTGCATGCAAGACGCTTTCAATGTTAATTACTATATCTGCGTACAAGGTATAAGGTAGCTGAAAAATACATGTATACTCTCACTCAAAGAATGCACTGTTAGAAAAGTGAAGAGTCGCTGGATGGATGTGCACAAGAGGGCAGTAGTAGGGTTTTGCATATGGTATTAACTGCCACATTTTCTGACTTCAATGCACTTAACCATGCAATCACAATTTCTCTTACCGTAGTATTTTTTTCAGAAAAAATCATTACCTCCTCAGCAATGAGTCTGCTTTCTAGATTTCTCCTGTGTTTTGAGGCCAGGAAACTCTTCAGTTATACCAGTTGTTCTTTTAGTGTCATTCTCAAATGCTGAAGAATCTGCCTGAGCCAGCTGGAGAAAGATTCCATTATCAGAGAGAGCACTAATACTATCCTCTCATGCCAAAGAAGAAAATACTCTTAGTAAGAGGGGAAACTAGTTTGATACTAACTCAGCCACATCATAATTTGTACTTACATATTTCATATTACCCTGTATGAGCTGTATGTGTTGTTCTGTTCAGGGTCTTGCAGAGAAGACCCCTAGGTTCCCTGGGGATCTTACCATGTATGTTGGCATTTCTATAACAATCTGGCATAAGCAAGTATCCATCATATGCCACTTTATAGACTAATTTAATGCTGAGAATTTTTTTTGTTGTTTTCTTTTTTAGTTTATATTTTTGATCACTCAGTTATGATATATTTAATTTTAACACTACAAAGTATTTTCTTGTATTAGTAGCTGTTTATTCACTTTGAGAAATGTTTAAACTCAACCTTCTTGGGTTCCTCCATTCTTCCCCACCCACCTCCCCCTCCTCAATAACATTATCTTTTTCTCTGAAAAATACATAAAAAATGTTGAAGGTTATAAGACTTGGTGGAATATGGCTGGTTTTCTCCTGTAAAATCTTTCTAACAGGAGCCAAGTAAAATAGTCTTTGGGTTTTTTGCTTGTCTACATGTGCCTGACTTCAAAGCTGATTTTACAGGTACAATAAAAATGAAAAAAAAAACAAACCAGAAATAAATTCTGCACAGTTCTGAGAATATTTCAGACACATCTCTCTGATTCAACAGTAAGAAATAATAGCAGCACTTTTCTAGGAAATAGTATATTTTGAGTTAAAAGAAATGGACAACGCAATTAAATTTCACCTTGGAAGAGATACTGGCACTACTTATTTTGTTACTGCAAGTAAGATAGGAGTTTATTTCTCTCAGGCTTTCCAAGCTGTTCTCAAGAATAATATAAAATAACGTTTCTCGAGAACATCATTCCTATAGGTTTGCAAATGTATTTAGGTATCTATGGATCTATTCAAGATCCTCCTAAAGGCAAAAAAAAGGTAATTCTTTGAATGTGCCTTTCCAGTTTCTTTATGAGAGGGCGTAGCCAAAGCTGTGTTCATACTTTCAGCTGCTTTTACACTGTACTGTTGGGTTTTTTCCATCTAGCTACATTTTTAGAGTACTTGCTTGCCACAATACTTATCAGTATGCAAGGTGAATTGGAATAATACTTACATTAATCTTCTTTGACCAATATTGTGCACAAAAAAAAAAAAAGGTGTGCAATGATGGTTGTAGTAGGCAATGTAGTAACGTGATATGGAGAAGGCTGAAGTACTCAAGCTTTTAAAATATTATTTTAATTTTTTTGCATATTTTATTTATTTTGCATTGGTCTTCACTGATGGAGCTTGCTCCCAGATATCTGCATGTACTGGTGTGGTTTGGGAGGGTGCAGGTCAGCCTTTTTCACTCAGCAGTGAGAAAGCGTTGGATTAGAAACTGCTTAGGAAAGTTGGATGCATCCATAACCATGATAAAGTTCACCCAATTGTGCTGAAAGAGCTGATCAATGTGACTGGGGCCACTGTCAGTCAACTCTGAAAAATCATGGTGGTTGGGAGAGATCCCTGTTGACTAGAAGGAGGCCAGCATGACACCCGTCTTTAAAAAAGGCAAGGAAGAGGTTTTGGGGAACTGTAGTCAGTCAGCCTTGCTTCAGTCAGTGGAAGGATCATAGGATCATAGAATCATAGAATCATAGAACCATAGAATGGTTTGGGTTGGAAGGAACCTTAAAGATCATCTAGTTCCAACCCCTCTCCTATGGACAGGGACACCTCCTGCTTGACCAGGTTGCTCAAAGCCTGGCCTTAAACACTTCCAGGGATGGGGCATCCACAATTTCTTTGGGCATCCTGTTCCAGTGTCTCACCACTCTCACAGTAAAGAATTTCTTCCTAATATCTAGTCTAAGTCTACCCTTTTTCAGTTTAAAACTGTTACCCCTTGTCCTATCGCTACACTCCCTGATAAAGAGTCCCTCCCCAAAGGATCATGGAGCATGTTGTAATCATATTGTTTTCCAAGGACATAAAGGACACAAAGATAATGACTGGGATCTAGTACCAGTAATCCATGAAGAGAACTGAGGGAGCTGGTTAAAGACGAGGCTAAGGAGCACTTATTGGTCTACAGCAATTGAAGTATAATTAGAGGAATGAGAGAAATGGACTCTTCTCAGTAGAGGCAGACAATAAAGCGAGGGGCAGCAGACACAAGTCCTGGTTTGGGAGGTTCAGGTTGGAGATAAGGAGAACCATTTGCACTAGAAGGGTGTTGGAGGAGGGTCCCATAAAGATTATAGAATCACCATTGTTGGTAGATTCCATAAAGATTATAGAATCACCATTGTTGGTGATTGTTGGCAAGATTAAGGTGGGCAAAGCCATGGCTGACCCCATGTCGTATGGGCAGTAGTCTCATTTCAAGTGTAGTTATATTTCCAAATTATTTCTGCGATTCCATGATTAAAATGGTTTGTGTTCATCACAGTTTGTACATAGGTAGCCTCTAGGAATCTGTTACATGGCACAAGAAAGAAAAAAAGGAATATTTAATAGTAGCTTCTGTGTACTTTTAAGATGCAAACCAGTCTTCTCCACTTTATTAGCCCAGTATTTTTTATTGCCTGTATTTTTCTTTATGAACTGTTATGCATCATTACTTTACATTGACACTTGCCGATGGTCAGTGATCGTAACTTTCCGTAACAAGTTGCTGCAATACCCAAACCAGTTCATAGCAGTCAGCTGGAGTTTTAGAATCCCTTATGAAGCAGTCTGTCTGAAGAAGCAGTCCAGATCTCATCTTCATTTTCAAAATAACATTTTTTATAGTGTTTTGGAAAATAAACCATTTTGCCTACTTTCTTTTTCTTTAATTTAATCTTCATTATATTTTGACTAAAACTTTGAAGTCCAGTAATTGTACCTTGATGCCTGATTTTGGAATTTTTGTAGAGCATTGATTTGTTACTTCTAGGGCTCAATGAAATCAAACATAGCTTCCAACATTAAACTGAGTATCCTAATGGAGAGCCTTCCAGAGAAATCACTGAGTGGTCCGTAATTACAGGTTTTTTATATATTATAACCAGTAGGGTATTTTCTTTGCCTGGGATTGTCTTCTCCAGATATGTACCAAGAAAGGATCCATGGCAAAAAGAACAAATAGGCTCTCCCACTATGTATTTCTGGCAGACATTATTCCGACCTTGGCCCTCTCTCTTGGGAGGCAACAATGCAAGTATTTTTCTTTTTCTCCATGTGTTTAACTGTATAAATTAGAAAAAGTTTAGGACCTTAAAAAGCTATGAATTTTGTTGGTTTCTTTTTTCCTCATGCCAACATATCTTAAAGCTATCTGTAAGGGAAGTACACTGGAAATGAGAGAACATGAGTAAACAAACTAAAATCAACCAATGTAGAGTCTCTGCTGCCCTTTTCTTCTACGCGTTTGCTCTCTTCTCTTATTACCATAATATATTTTTGCATGCATACGTGTTCTTTGCTTGCCTGTTGTCTCTGTGCTGCTCCCTCTCTGGTAAAAAGGAAAATTTTTTTATATTTCATCACGCCTCTTTTTCTAGAGTTTTTGTCACATTTTTGTCTATACTTTTCTCCAGGCACTCTGTTAGTTTCCTCTAAATAATTACCTAGGAGACAGTTCATTTTCCAAATAAATCAAAACATTGAGGACAGACCCACTGGAGTTTATTCTTCTTATTTATAAGTAAAGATAGGTTTGAAAGCGGGTTTTGAAAATGTAAAAATTTAGGAAGAATGTTTTAAGAGTTACTTGAAATTTATAAACTGAGGATAAATATAGAGTACTTTACTGAGCTGACATTTACTTAATCAGTGTTTATATCGCATGTTAGAAGCTGTCAGAACACCTCCGTATCTCCTGCTATTAGTATTAGGAAGTGGTTTTTTTCCTAAAGCCTGTTCATCCCATTGCCTACATTTGTTTTTCAGCTTGCTTGGGAACACGGAATACCCTTTTTTGAAACCAGTGCTAAAGATAACGTGAACATTGAGGATGCGTTCTCAATCTTGACTAAGGAAATACTGGAGAAGGTAGGCTCCTCTTCTGAGTAGAAAGAAAATGGGAGATTTTTCTTAACGAAATGGGTAAACAGGGTTATAAATACAGTAGAAGTTTAGCAAAGCACAGCCAGTGCAGGTTTTGCATTTTGGAGTTAATATTTTAGGGGGATCCTGTGGCTGTAGATATACAGAGGAGGAACGTGGAGGAGAATAATTGTGGGAGAAGAGAACAACAGAAGAGGGGAGCAGGTAAAATATAGTTGAGAGAGAAGGTAAAAATTCAGGAAAACTGCATTTGTGGCTTTCCTGCCCATGGTTTTCTTCAAGGGAGAGGTTAACAGCTATAGAGTAGTTCCATTTCTGTGCCAGGAAGATTCCTTTTTTCTGTAGGTTTCTGCAGAATATGTGCACTGCAAAGCCGCTGTGTGCTGATGGAATGAGATGATCTTTTATGTTCAGCAATCAGATTTTTTTATACAAAGTTCATAGCTGTTTATTTGGATGATTTACACTGGTGCTTTTGAAGATACCAGGACCTAAAGATTTGAGTTAATTAGTGGTAGAATCAATATCGTAGCTCTCCGAGTCAGCATCTCTAACTGCCTGGAGCGTGTTGGCTTAAAGGTCCTTACTCCTCAGAGTTGCAATACTTTTGTAGGACTGAATTATTGTTAATTAGCTCTGAAAATGTTTTGCATCGCAATTTATTTTTAGACAGTAGAATATTATTTTAGACATTAATGGATGTTCTTCATGCAATGTGTTATCATTGCCATTCATCACCAATATTAGTTATACAAAACTAGCCTTCCATTCCGAATACTCTTGAAGTCATAATAAAGATAAATGAGCAAAATTACTGACAAAGTCACAAGTTGCAGTGTTTTGATTAAGTAGCCATAGGGGATGGTCAGAATAATAACTCAGGCTTGGACTGCTTCTAAATCAAGGTCTTGTCATATTACACAATAACACAAGTTGGTTATTTTGGGGGAGAAAAAAAGCTTTTGATTCCTTCAGCATGGAAACGGAGCTCAGCAACCAAACAGTCAAATACTGTTTAGAACAGGAGGATAATGGCTGGTCCTTGAAGAGATGGCAAAAAAACTAGAATAAGATAACTCTGTTTTTCTTGTAAATGAAAAAGACATTGGCTACTGTAAATAGAGAATATATTTTTTAGTATGAAACATGAAAACTACAAAATAGCTATGATCATAGCTGCTACAAAGACAAATATGTGTGAAGCAAGCATTTCTGCACAGAGTGTTTGGGTAAGATCCTAGAGAATTCTCTGCAGAGGGCAGAAATGATGTTTGGGTATTTCTCACTTTAAGATTGCCTACACTTACTTTACTTGAAGTGGAACTTCAGTATTCCTGCTCATCTTCATTCGTGGGGTTTGTAGTGGGTACATGCAAACAAAGTCAGACGATGTTGAAAATGCTGCTGTAGCGCTGCATTGGCTTTAATTAGAACAGCTTGAGAATACAGTTGTGCACTCTGCATCCATAGATGTGTCCTTGGAAAATATGTCCATGAGAATTTGTCAACTTTGCCTGTAGTAACATTTCACCTTATCCAGAAATGCTTGCAATCCCTGATGGGGCATCACATGCCATTACTTTGGAGTATTATTTACCATTTTTAGTGAAATGCATTAATTGATTTAAAGAAGCACTCCTTTAGCCCAAGTGGTTTTGCCACTGGTCTGGTAAGGAACAGTTCACAGTAAAAAAAATAAATCTACCATACAGTTTCACCATGGTTTTCAGGTTCGACAAAATAATTCACCATCCCTGGCTGTGTTTAAGGGCCGTTTAGATGCAGTGCTAAGGGACATGGTGTAGGGGAGGACTATGTAGAGTAGGGTAGATGGTTGGACTCGATGATCCCAAGGGTCTCTTCCAACCTGAATGATTCTATGATTCTATGATAAAACTGTGAAATCTGAATGTAGTACTTGATTTTTAACTTCCTCTAACTGATAAAGTTTTGGAGAAGGGAAGATGCAGTAGGAAGTGTGACTAGTAGATGTGCAAAATGACACGATAGATGCCAGGTCTGAGATCACTTCCATCACACATCCGTTCTGTGGTGGTAAAATATGTACTTGCTGATTGTAAAAAGGAGATACAGCTTTGCACAAGTGTTTTGGCCCAAGACACCTGTGTCTGAGGTAGCAGGATATAGGGTCTCGCTTACTTCTGCAATAGCCCCAGCTGTGCCAGGGGGATGAGATGCTTCAGTGGAAGCACGTCATTGCTTTATTAGTCCCACAGAGGAAACCCATTTTAAGGAACTCCCTAGAAAAGTCTATTATGGCCATGCATTTCAGAAGTATGTGGAGGGCATTCAGAAGGAAGATAGATAGGCAGGGCAGGCTGGCAGTCAGCTCTAGTAATCTGAGGAAATCTAGGATTTTTTATATGCACCCTTCTTCAGTGTCTACTACAGACATTTCTTTATTAACTATATCTACAGAAAACACGCCTGTAGATGGGGAAGATCAGTGTCTGGAGTTACAGAGCTCATACAGAAGTAATGAGCTTCTTGATGCTCTTGAAATTCAGAACAAGTTGTGGTTCAGTGGAGGGTTGGGAAAAAAACCCCCACATTAAAATGTGTTAAAAAAAAAAAAGGCAAGTTTGTATTGTTGTTATTTTGTGCTGCATTTTCCTATCTCTCCTTTTGTGGTTTTACTCATTGTGGGCTTAAGGGACAGAGAAGACTGCTGTGATTTGGATAACTAAAGCACTGCTTGGCCTTTCAGATATTTATCATCTCACCCATTCTATGGTGGATCTCAATCCTATGGCTGTAATTTACATGGGTAGTCTCATTAAAACAATCAGATGTTATTTGACAGCTTACATTGGTAACAGCTAAGGAGTCATGCTATGTTTTTGAGAACTCACCATTTTCAAACAAATCAGTTGAGAATATCTAATTGGATTGTATTCTGAAGGCTACAGTGGAAATGAATGTTAATGACACAGCTCATTCCACAGGTTTGCTTAGATGTGTTGACAAATAACAACAGTATTTTATTTATTCGGAGTTCTTGTGAGTCTCAGATATGCCTAAACCTGTTCATTCATAGATGGCAGCTGTTCTTTAACAATGCTTCTGATTTCCAGTGAATTATTTGTACTTGTGAGTCAGTCCCCAAAAATCAACCAAACCCCCCAAAATACCACCCAGAATGCAGTTTTGTGCACTTTTGTGGTGTTTGGTTTCATGGCTGACAAGCAGTACTCTTCTCAACTAGCTTTTTAAAAAAATATTACAAGCCTTTGTATTTCTGCCTCTGTGGGTGTGGTGGTTGGTATTTTTCTAAACTAGGAGCAGAATGAGGGAAACTGTATTCAATAGAAAAAGAAAAAAGATTTTTTTTTCCCTTTTCTGAAGGGAAAAAGCTGCTATAAAACTAACGAAAACTTAGGTTCTGCCTACCTCCCAAGAGTGGTTGACTATTAAGATTTTTTTAAGATAATATTAAATAAACATGTATCTGTTGAGCAGAGAATAGTGAAAATCCATTTCAGAGCTTCCCCTGTGCTGTTGAGAGTAACATGTGATGTTTAACAGCTGGATGTCATTTGAAATGAACATTCATAAGTACCAGGCGTCAATTCTGTCCTTCCTTCATCTCTTTACCTCCCTCTCCTATGGCAACAAGATTTTTGACATTACACTGTGTGTCCAATTCCTTTGCTCCTAAAGTACCTTTGGAACTTGCTAGCTGCTTTTACACAAATTTGACAGGTCAAACGAAAAGATAATTAAGCTCCTGAGGAGTCCCTTGAAAGTAAGGTGCTGGGTGCAGGAGGGGCAGAGTACTCTGCAGAAGGTGGTCTCCAGCATTAGTTCATACAGAGATGACTACACAGAGAGAGTCAAAAATCCTTCCACCAGCCACTCCAGCCAGAGCTTGCATTTTGGATATCCAGTTTAATTCACTGCAGGACCCAAATACATAGGAAATCAGATTTCGCTATTGACAAGGTTCATGGAATTGTTAGTTTGTCCAAAAGATCCCTGTTTCTAGCAGTGTACATTCAGTGTTTCTTTAGTATCCTCAATCACACATAGAGCCTCAGGCTTTATTTGCCCTTTATTTATCTCGTAGCTACCACAGAATACTAATGTCTCTGTGAGGTTTTTCATAATGCTCGTAATGCTGTATTTTAGATCTATTTCAGATTTTTATCTGCATAACCTTCTTAGTAACATTAGGTAGAATATTCAGCATTGCCTGCATGGGAACCAAGGTAAAGACATTAAAACAAAAAGGATAAATGGTTCCAACTCACTTGGTGCTGGTGGGATGTAGGGCATCATTTTACTACACTATCTTCTTTAATTAAAAAAACACCAGTCTGTTCTGGATATTTAATGAGCCAGATACTCTTCTGGAAACGGTACCATATAATTAGGTCATGTAAATCAAAACCTAATCCTGATGTTTGAGTATAGGGGATGAGATTCATCTTAACATGCAACCTTAGCCAGCTGAAATTTACGTGACTGGTCTGGTGTGGTTGGAGTCATCTCTATTCAATGAAAAGAGATGCATCTTTTTAGGATAAATTGTGTTCTAGAGGTGCCTTTCTCTCTCCATTGATTATAGAGGACTCCATATCTCAGCCTGTCTGGTTTCATATGGTTAAAGTTTAAGTCCAGGAGACCAAAGGAATGTTACTCTCTTGACTGACTTCTGGCACCGGCTGCTTCTGCAAGATCTTGATTTTGAAGCCAGATTGCTCTCTTACATAGGGGTTTTGAGGTGCAACTATATTAATCCTTACATAGATGATCTGTAGGGTTGAGGAACCTTAGAGTCTTGGTTTGTGAAATAACTAATTGCAGTACAACATTGTTATAGTCTACGCGGTGTTAACAGAAGAGGGAGATAGAGACCCACACTTTGCCCAGTGGGTTAATTGTTTTAAACATTGTGGAATAGCAGACTGTGGGAGCAAGGACTTCATCCCCATTTCTTGAGGGAGGTGTTCTGCAGCAGGTAGATCCTGCTCTGCCTGACCCTGTATCCTCTCCTGGTCCTCTCCCTGCCCTCCTCAGTGATTGCTTTCCCTGCTGTCTTGTTTGATACACCTTGTGTCCTGTCCCACCCATTTCTGTTGCGAGAAGACTGTCTTGCATTTTGAAAAAGTAATTTGAATTATGGAATACAGGGAAAATACACGTCAAGGAAATGGCAGGACTGATCTTAGTAACTGAGCTCTCTCTGCTGGCACTTCAGGCACAGAAGTCACGTGAACTTGGTTGCATGAAGCTCTCTGCCATGCTTTGCCAGTCTTTGTCAACTATCACTCTTAAATATAAACAAAAAATGATTGCCGTGATTAAGTATGATCATTTTGTCATTAGAGAGAATATAAATCCCTGGAATTTAAAGAAGTTATAAATAATAGTAACTTCAGTTACGGTCCCTCTGCTTGTTTCTCTAAAGCTGTTAGTTTCCCAGCGAGCACGCCAGGTCTGACTTTGGCTGGGGACATCGAAATGGGTAGAGTAACATTCTGTCATTCTTCCAAACCCATAGTGAAACCCACCTTCAAAGTAATGAAAATAGTATCAAAATACCAAGAACTGGTGCTAGAGTAGGTGAAGCTGACTTGGTATGGCACTGGTAATCTGGATGTATTTTCAGTAAGGAGCAGGCAGCTGATCTTAATGAAGATTTATAAATTTACTCCCATCAAAAGTCTTTCAAAGAATTTATCTTAGTTTTTGATATTTTCATTTGCATACCAGCTTAGCTTTCTTTCCACTTAAAAAGAAAAAAAAAAGGCAAAAACATTTGGGATTTCAGCCATCTCATCCCAGTTCCTGTGTCTAGAAGTTAGGTTATCTATTGCACACCAGTGATACAAACTCTGCTTAGAGCTGGGGAGGAGAGACAGCCGGGAGGGGAGAGAGCAGGAAGCTTAGAACCGGCTTGAACAGATGCCTGCCTGTTGGGTAAGACGTGTCTGCTGTGCTATTTAACAGGAAAAACCTGTATTTGATAGCAGGAAATTTCAACCTCTTAACAGATCACTGCAGGGCAGAGCGGCATCGGTGTCTGTGGCGGTATTTTCAAACCCCCACTTTGCCTAGGATGGGTTCCGGAGCAAAAACTCAAACTTCTGTATACCATTTTGGTTCTTCCCACCTTTTCACGGTTTTCTGCTGTTTGTTGGCTGGTTTGTCAGGGGCTGAGTCCCAACAGGCTGAGGTGAAATGTGAGCAGGAAGCCTTAGCGTGGAGGGAGCCCTGAAGAAGGAATGCCTGCCCGCTTTGTTCTCGCAGGTGGGAGAGATTTGCATACCTCCCTGCTGGAATTTCGGGAGAGGAGGGTGCCCCACCTCTTCCAAGGCTCGGCTGGAGTTGAGCTCTACCTGAGGTGGCCTGATTGTTGCTTCCGTGCTTCATGCAGGACTCATCATATCTCTTCAAGTTATGAATGTGCACTTTTTAAGTGTGTGTATAGCACATTTGCTTAAATGAATCCCAGGCCCTTATTTGTTTGATGAAGATCCTGTATGGAATAGTCTTATCAAACTGAAGTGATTCTTAAAGTCCTCAACTTTTAAATGGCTTTTAGAACGAACTATTGCCTCTTCTTTATTTGTGGAGAGGTGGTTCTTATCGGTGGTTCTTATCTTTCTCTCCTGGCTAATTGGTTGATGAACTTCTATCAGATCACGGTTTTACAGATTATATGAACCATTTAATTGTCAAAAGATTTCACCATTCTTAATCACTTCTAGTCCTAAGGATCCTTGCTGTACTTACACATGAAAGCTTACTTACCTCCCAAAAGTACTGTTAAATAGTAAAATATTCACCAATAAGCATCTTCAGCATTTAAGGAATATGCAAGCTTCTCCCCTGTAACTGAAAGCATGAAGTTAGATGGAACCTGCAACACTTTCAAATTACCTGTTTCCTCTAAAGTTAAGTAAGCGAAACCTGAATTCTGAAATTGTTCAAACAGGGATTTGTCTAAAACTCTTTGACTACTTAAACTGAATATTTTTCTCCAGAAGAAAAAGTGGGGGTGGAACAAAACCTACTTCATTTATGTCCACAATGATCGATGCTTAGCGTTATTTTATGGTCTCAATAGAGTGAATTTCAATTTCTTATTGTACCATTATCTTCCAGAGCTTCCTCCCCCCACCTCAGAATCTTATCTCTAAACCAGTGTGGTGTCTTGTTCCTTGAGATGACAAGGTTATGGTTGTGTACTTCAAAGTCTGTTATGATCCCTCTTTTAAAAGGTCTTCATACTTTACTGTCTGCACTTGAGGGCTATCAAATACTGGCTCTACCTAGTACAAATCATAATGCCTAATGCCTGTACTCACCCACCTTACACAACTATGGAAAAAAGTAAAACAAATGAGAAGTAAGGAAGCTGCATGTAGGAATTTGTGTGAACTCTGGGTAATAAAAAGGGTAATAAAAAATGGGTAATAAAAACATTAATACTGTTGGTACTTGTTACTCCAACAACAACAACAAAAAAGTAAAAGTGCCCATGTTGTATTTCTTCATGCTTGATTTATATGTGACTAATGTCAACTAATTCCTCAAATCTGTAAATCACAGTCTTCCAGTACCCTAGAATGAGAACAATAAGTGTTAATAATTTTATTGCTGACAGCTTCCGCATCCATCCTGAGGTTTAGACACTGTGATACCTTTCCCACCATCTGCTCCTGCCCCTGTCCATCACTTCTGATCCCTTTCCAGGTGTTTCATCTTCTCGCCCAGCAGCATGCACTGTGGAAGCCTCCCTGGGTCCCTGCAGCCCCAGGAACGGGCTCAGCCACCCTCTCTGTGGGGATAGCCCTGGCACAGGGCAGCCAGCACGCTGGGGGAGCTAAAATTATGGCCACGGAAGGAAAAAGGAAACAAATTTCATGTCCCTTCTCCAGATTTTTAGGTAGTGTTAAATACTCTCAGCCAAAGAGGCCTAAGGCTTATTGTAACATGGGAAAACCTTTTATTTTCCTCTTATTTTGATTCATGTGAGTAATTCTAGGTGAACCTTTCTACCAACTACCCTTTCACACTGTATATGTTAAGTTCTTGATTTTGAATCATGATTAGCATTGTACTATAAGATGCCTTCTTTTCTCTCTTCCTTTTTTTTTTTTTTCCTGTGCATTGAATTTAATGAATTCCACCTTAGCTGGCTGTCCTCTCTGGAAGCCTCTCTTTATGGTCAGAAATGGTTGTTTCTGGCTTTTGGGTTTGGTTTGAGAGAGGAATGTGGTGAATCCAGTGGTTGCCCTTACTTCTCTGTGTATCATTACGTACTCGATAAACCTGCCAAGAAGCAGGCAGGAGAATGGCAAGTGGAGAAATTAGGACATTTTTTTTTTCCTGGGCTTGTGACAATATTCTAGACATCGTTGTGCCTGAGTTCAGGGTTCAGTGTTCATAGTTCTAGAGGACAAGATTGCAACATGTACTCGTACTGTGTTGCACAACTGGGCTTGATTGTTTCTCTGGTCAGCACTAATCATCTAGTTGAGTTTATTGCTGAAAGGAAGAGTCCTGGTTCTGCTGATTTTTATTTTCATTGTAGTCCGCTTTTGCAGTCAGTACATAAATGTTTTACAAGGGCAGAGTGCTATTTTGATAGTTTATCGTGAGAAAACCAGAGTTGTTTCCATTTGTGGGCATTCCTGGTTATTAGATAAGGACAAGAAAACAGAGAATTTTAGTTAATTTCACAAAACAAGTTAATGTCCTCTATAACAATTAATAGCCTGTGCTTTTTTTTTAATGGGTACTAATGTTCTGTTTTTCCCAATTCCTTTCAACTGGATTTTTGCACCCCATGCTCAGTACTTCAAAGATTAGCCTACTTATCTGCAAATTACTGAAAATTGGTGTAGTCAACATAAGAACCTGTACACCTAGAACAATTCATGTGAGTAAAGATTTACAGGATCAGTTCATACGGTTTGTAGTGTCTCCTCAAAAGACACTTTCTATCATCTGTCACCTTCAGAGTTAGGAGAGATGTTTGAGGCACCTAAAGAATGTAAATATACCAAGCTGAGGCTTGCATGGGCATCGGTCTCCATCTAATTTATTAGAAAACTGCAATCTTTTAATTATATATTCAAAGGAAAAATATATCCAGTGACCCCACCAAATCTTTTGCATATTAAAATATGTGAAAATTCAAGCTTTTTGATGGTTTTGTTCTAGTTATCTTAATTGTTTGCTTTTGTTTGCTTTACAGAAATCCTGTGTATTGTATGACTCAGATGTTGTGACTCTAAATGAAAGTAAGAAGAGAACCTGCTGTGCATTCTGAAATATTCTTACTCCATTTTCTCTTCAGAAAATATTTGCAAAGGAACATACAGGATTTTTAAAGTGAGCCTGTAATCCCAAAACACAGTATGTAGGGATCCTTTGTATTATACAAACTTTGTTGCCAAATGTTTTGATATGTTTATATTATATTTTCATACGTTTAATGTGAAGTTAAAACAATTATCTGACTTTGGAATTATTAGATGCATCACAGGGTGACTGCATTTGCATACAAATGTTTGCACAAATGAAATCTAAGTGTACTAATTTTCTCTTATTAAAAAAAAAAAAAAGTAATTTACCTTGACTTTTTTTTTTCTGTGTTATTTGTACTGGATTTATAATGCAATTGAACATTGACATCATCACACAGGCGACCTTCTGATATATGAAATCACTTATGCCACACCCCACATAATGTCTCTAAGTAGATTATATGTTTTGCAGTTCCCTAAGATAATTTCCTGGGAATTTTTGGCTTTGATTCTTTATATCCATTTCAGAAACATACGTGTTACTTGAATACCCTTGAACAGGGAGGCTGCGAAGGTGAGGGCTGAGAGAAAAGAATAAGCCATATACAAGATCAGTATGTGGCTGAACCTTTCTTAGAGGGCAGAAAGCACAGAACAACAGAATGCATCCAGTAATAATTCTCTCGCTCATCTAAACTTTTATCATTCTATAAAATAATTCACGCAGGTGTTAGAAGCATACCTGCATTTTCAAACGTTCCTTTTGTTGTAAACGATGACAATATTGAAAGGGCATGCAGTGCTTGTTTGATATTGTGAGGTATCCGTGTTGTTTTCTTAAAGTATAAATGTGTCCGGTGTCTGAATCTGCTTATTTAGATCTCTTGTATACTGGTGTGTAATATCTTTCATTTCAGTGGAGGATATCAGATTTTCTTTAAATGTAAATGAGGGCAGAGTCAGGATGCCAGTTTCTTTTTCTTTAATCCAAAGCAAAGAGAACACAAATCAAACCTGCAGGACAAGCACAGAGCAAACACAAGTTGGGAAATTTGAAGAATTGTGGTGATTACATTGTCTTTGTATTATTTTAAATCATTTTGCCTGGGAGATGTGGTTCTTGCTGATTATTAAATTTTATTGTTTTATCACCATTTGTGAATGAACAATACTACTGTGCAAAATGGTGTTGTGAGCTGTCCCAGCACATCCAGAATAACTGCTAACTCCACTGGCTTATTGTTCTGGAGTGTCACTACTCTCCTGAAATACGCCTGCTTCTTTTTTGAGGGCTGTCTACAGGTTGTCATAATATCAAATTATTATGAAATTTGGTATTGAGACAATGGGCTCAGCTGGAAAATGCTTTTCTGAAGCACATGGGACCTAATGTGCCTAAGCATCCTGCCAGGTTACTGTGCCACCGGGCCATTGAGTTGGCTTGCAGAAGGGTGGGAAGGGCCACGTTATTTACAGCTGCTCCTGAGACTACTCATCATGGCCGGTCATTTAAGCTGCTGCTGAGAGCAAAATCTGAAAACAACGAACAAAGGATAATCCCTGCCTTAGCCACAAGGATAGCAGAGGAAGAAAATAGTGCTGGAAGGGATTTTAGAGGCTGCCGAGGTCCTCGTCTTATCTCGGCCTCAGAACAGCTGTGTGGCAGGAAGATGCTTAGGGACCTGCAGTGATGGAGATTTCCTGGTGTCTCTGGTGGTACACAGCCCTCACTTAACTGGTTTGGTGAGCAGGAAGTTTCCTAATACCCAACCCAACTGCTACACGTGGAAAGCAGGTTTTCCCTTTCCTCTTGACGTAGGTGAATGCCTCTGCCTGCCCTCTCTCTTCTCCATAGGCCAGAAAACTCCTCTGCCTTCTAGATTGTAGTTTGGGTTTTCAGAATCCTTTGCCATTTTTGCCTCTCTCCTCTTGACATTTTTGAGTTGGTTCTCAGCTGTCCTGGAATGTAGAACTGAAAACTGAGCAGACTATTCCAGTTTAAATAATAACGGCTGGATTTTTTCATTATCTTATTTATGATACTTCTATTTATGCATTCCAGCATCAGCATAAAGCAAGGCAGCCTAACACTGCTTCTGATCCGTAATCTCTTTTCTGAAGAACTGCTTTTTTATCCTGGTATGTACTTGTGCAGTTGACTATTCCTTTGTATGGGCAGAACCTCCTGCTTCTCCTCATTTGGTGGCATTTCAGTTTCTGCCAAGATCTTTCTGAATCCTAATGCTGTGCTCCAGCATAGTTGGAGCCTCTTCCTGTAGATGTGGTCTGCAAAGGAGAACAAGTCTACTCAGCTCAGTCATCAAAGATGTTGATGAAAGTATTGTATAGTTCTGGATGCAAGACAGATCTCAGTGAAATCCTTTTCAATGTATCCTTTCAGCTTGGGGCTACTAATTATTTCCATATAATTTTGCACTCACTTTATACACCAGTCTAGACCATATTTTGTTTCTAGTTAAGAGCACATTACACAAAACCCTGTGATCCTCACTCTTTCTCCCCTGTCCACAAAGCCTGTTACCATCCAATAGAAGTAGACTAGATTGATCTGATATTATTTGTTCCTGACAAACCCGTGCTGTTACTTCTCATATCTTTACTTTCTAGACTCTTGCAAATGGTTGGATTACCCCTTGAAATCTTTTTATTTCTGTATTATTTTTTTTAGTAGAAATTCAGCTAACCAGGTTGTAAAGCTCTTTCCTTCCACCCCTTGAGAGAGATCCAATCCTTTTCGAGTTTTCTGGAACCCCACTCATTCTTTGTTGATTCTCAGAGATAATCAGTAGCAGCTCTAACATTGCTTGGACCTTAATATGTTTCATCAGGGTTAGTCTATCCAGAAATCTTCAACTTATCTCAGTATTTTGCAGTCTATTTCTTCATTTTTCTAGCCGAAGCTCTTAGACGTTTGTCAGTGGTGCTAGTAGAGAAATCACACCTGCCTTCTTAAATTGAAGACTCAGGTTAAAAAAGGCATGAAGAATACTGGCATCTCAGCATTACCAGTCATTAGGTGATGATTAGAAAGATTTCCCCCTTTACGGAATAACAGACCAATTTTTTCCTTTGTCTTCTGATTATGTTTCTTTCCAACATCCTTGATATCTTTTAAAGCCAATTTTGTAACATTCTGGGACCTTATATTTCTGGTTCTGTCCATACATAGCCTGTAGGGTTGCATAAATTCCCACAGATGGAATTTTTAGACCAGATAAAGGTTACAAAAAGGGATTTGACTGGAAAGAGGAGAACACCTCTTACAGTGAAACAGAAGATAAAAGTTGAATGTTCCCACCAGACCCTCAGATCTGTTCTTTAGAATTCTTTGCATGAGCAAAGATTGCTTGGATTTTGCCAGTAAGGCAGGAATAGTGTTCTCTCTCAAAACATGAGATGCACAGACACCAACTATATCAAATATGTTTCTCTCTTTCCCCTTTCCCCCCCACCCCAGAGAAGGGTGAGTGTTCAGGACCTGATTCTGAAACAATCACTGCATCTCCTGTTGTTTCCCATTGGGCTTGTAAATATTTATTATGAAAATCAGGCCTTTGATAGAAAGGCAAATCACATGTAGGAAGAAGGAATGCAAATTCGTGGGGTTTTTTAAAGAAATGCTGGCTATGATGGCTTCACATGAAACTTACTGTCTAAGGCTCAGAGTTTTAGGCATACTACAGTGTAAAGCATGTTATCAGATTCATACTAAAATCAGTTTCTTGTGAACAGCTCCATTTCAAATGTTAGCATAAGATATTAACTGATGATGATCGGAAACACTTTAAAAATCATTTTATTGGCATCGGAATAAATATGTGCTAGAGATTTTAACAGCCTGCTGCATAAATGTGTTGTGAAATCAACATGAAAGTCAATTCAAAATGAATTTAAGAATAATTTGAGGAGTTTCCGAGTCTTCCCCCTGCCACTGCTTATGGCTTTATGGTGACAATTTGCTGTTGATACATAAAGAGTGTCTCTGAACGGCTGCCTCGAAGGCACGTACGCAAAACCTACGGCGTTGTGTAACTGGGGCCCTGGTCCTCAGGTGGATCTGCTCTTGGGGTTCCTCTCCAGGCCCCCTGGTTTTGGCACCAGTGGGAGACTCCGGTAAGAGATCACGCTAAGGGACTAAGGCATTGCTAGACATCAGAGAAATTATTATATCTAACGTGTTAATTATACATAAGGTGCAGTTAAAACAAGAAACCGTCTGAGATTAATATGTGCTGGTGATTTGAATACCGTGTAGGTAATATTAGAATGTATTTCAGGGAGGCTGAGCTATAGTACAGTTAGGACACATAATATAAGAGCTCTGGTGAGACATTTAAATACTAGTAAGATTTATGATGTCTCTTTCCCTGAAGTGAGTGAATGAAATTCAGATAGTATCTCAAAGTTACATTGTTAAAAAAAATGCATCTTTGTTCCAGTAGGACGGGTGAGAGTGGGTTGGGTTCTGCTGGTTGGAGAGAACACAATATGAAGACAGACTTAAAAGCTGCAGGACATCTAAAACCATCTGAAGAATGAAAAAAAAAAAAAAATCTTTAAAGAAAAATCAGCACTAACTCTTTCTTTGTGAAAGATGCATTTCTTCCCAGGCAGCAGAAGTGGATGATGTCTGAGAGAAGCATACGCTGGGAGACGGTATCTGTCCTGGAATTAATGGTGCCCAAGACAGAGTTAAACACAATTCCTGTCAGACTAGTGCTTCAAGTCCTAGTGAATCCCAGTCTGACCTGATCTGCTTTGCCTCATACACTGCACCCCATAACCTCGTCAAACCTGAACGAGTTAAAGCCATGCTTTTGCTTCCCGTATTTCAACAATAATTGCTCTTAGCCACTATATCACTTTGCACTTCAATAACTTAATTCACTGAAGTTGTTCAAAGCGTGGGGTGAACTTTGTAAAAGGGAAGCTACTTAGGGAGGTGATTGTGCCCCTGTACTCAGCACTGGTGAGGCCACACCTCGAGTATTGTGTCCAGTTTTGGGCACCTCAATACAAGAGAGATAGCGAGGTGCTGGAGCGAGTGCAGAGGAGGGCAACGAAGCTGGTGAGGGGGCTGGAAAACAAATCGTATGAGGAGCGGCTGAGGGAGTTGGGGCTGTTTAGTATGAGGAAGAGGAGGCTGAGGGGAGAGCTCATCACTCTGTACAACTTCGTGAAAGGACACTGTAGAGAGGTTGGTGCTGGTCTCTTCTCACAGGTAATTAGTGACAGAACGAGAGGGAATGGCTTCAAGCTCCAACAGGGTAGGTTTAGACTGAACATTAGGAAGGAATTTTTCACTGAAAGAGTGGTCGGGCATTGGAACAGGCTGCCCAGGGAGGTGGTGGAGTCACCATCCCTGGCTGTGTTTAAGGGCCGTTTAGATGCAGTGCTAAGGGACATGGTGTAGGGGAGGACTTTGTAGAGTAGGGTAGATGGTTGGACTTGATGATCCCAAGGGTCTCTTCCAACCTAGACAATTCTATGATTCTATGATTCTACTTTGAAAAAAAATCCAGTGTCATATTTTTAAAGCTAACCGTTGTGGTAGGTAGGGTCTGCCAGCAGTGAGTGTAGGGAAGGAAGGTTTTTTCATAGCGCTGGGAAATCCCGGCCCCAAACTGCGTGGCTGAAGCACGGAGCCGCCTCGGGACGAGGTTCAAACCGACCCCGAGCCCCTTCCAGCAGGATAACGCCGGGGTTTTCTGTAACCCTCTGTGCCCACTGCCTTCCATGGTCTTTGTTTCCTCTTGGAGAGGAGGGATGAAGTCCCGGTCTCTGTTTGCAGCAGGAGCAGAACAAGAGCGTGTCTGTCTGGGCCCTCCTCGTGCCGGGGGTGGCACCAGCGGTTGGGGAGGCACGCAGCGGCGGCCGCCCCTTCCTTCACCCGGCGCCCCAAGGAGGGGGCTTTTCCCCCCAGGCTGGGCCATCCCCAGCACTCCCGGAGGTGGGTACCTCCGAGGACGGAGCCTGGAGAGCCGTGGATGGCTGTGGATGTTTCCAGGCGTTTTACAAATCACCGGAAGGCCCCTTCCACGCTTCCACTCAACAGCACGGCCTTAAAACGCAGCCAAGCCGACTGCCATAACATAAACAGTTTTGACACAGAAGCGAACAAAATAAACTTAAGAGCAGCACGGTGCAACCACCCAGGAGTTAGCTTTTCTGCTTTAATTTCCTGGAGTTTCTGCGGTCTAGCAGTCTGGAGAGAAAAAAAAAATGCATAAAAAAATTGATAACACTAAATAAAACAACTTAGGAAGGTCACGTAAGACTTCATCACATAAGCCACTTGGAAAAGAGAACTAGCAGTTGATTGATTTTAAATTCTCCCATGGTCTGAAGACCCTGGAGCGCACAATACGTGTAATATTTGCACGTGCAGTAACGATGATAAAAATAAGATTTCCCCTAGAATCATAGAATGGTTAGGGTTGGAAGGGACCTCAAAGATCATGGAGTTCCAACCCCCTGCCATGGGCAGGGACACCTCCCACCAGACCAGGTTGCTCAAGGCCCTCTTAACTTCTCTGTGCTACCCTTCATCCTTGCCATGCCCATCCATAGCTCACAGGTGAAAACTGAAGTAACGGATGCACCATCAAAGTTGCCATCTAATTGGATTATTTTGATATTTTTTTTTCTTTAACGTAGGATGAATTCCCTGAAGTTCCTACGCTAAATCAGATAGCGATGAGGAGACCCGCTCCCTCAAAAAAAAACCCAAAAAAAACCCAAATCGGTGCCGTAAGCTACCCGAGACGTTTCCTCCACCGAGTGCCGGTGGGGAGCGGCGGGGGCAGAGCCGGGTCCCCGCCGCCTCTCGCCGGGAAGCGGCGGCCACCTGCGAACCCCGGGGGCGGGCAGAGACCCCGGGGCCTCCCCCGTCACCCCATCCCCGGGGGATCACGGAGGGAGGGGAGAAGAGGGGAGAAGGGAGGGGAAGGACACCCGGCGGCCCCCCTCCTCCTGCGGGGGCGGGCGAGCTGCAGGTCGGGCGAGCGGTCGGAGGGTGGAGTGAGAGGGACGGGCTCGGCGGCGGCGGCGGTCCCCGGCGGGCGGGCAGGGAGCCCGGCACTTTCCTTTTCGGCTGCGGGGAGGAGCGGCAGCTGCGCAGGCGTTGCTCGCACCCTGTTGATTAGTCAGTGCTGGGATGGCGCTTCCTGGGCCAGGCGCGGCGGCGGGCGGCCCCAGCCGGTCCCGGGGGGCGGCGGG